AGAGTAGTTAAAATTGCAAATTAGAACTTACTAAAATGACTAAAACAAACAAAACTCCTAGATTTCAGGTCACTAAAATGACTAAAATCTCAAATTTAGAAAATTTTACAAAGTACTAAAATGACAAGTTTTGCAAATTACTAAAATTCTAAATGACTAAAATTACAGCTTACTAAAATGACAAAATTCATTCCTAAATTCTTAGTTACTAAAAGTGCTAAAATCACACATTTTTCCAAAAGACTAAAATTACAATATTTAGAAATTACTGTGGGTGTAGGATTATAGCTTTTTTTTTAATGGTTGAACTGGATGGACTTTTTTTCAGCCAGACAAACTACCGTATTTTTCGCTCCATAAGACGCACTTTTTTCTCCCCAAAAAAGGGGGAAAATGTCAGTGCATCTTATGGAGCGAATATAAAGCGGCCGGTCCAGTATTTCTGCCGCCGCCATGTCAGAATACCGGGCCAGCCGCTCAGCTGTTCTCTACGGCAGGAACTCACCTGTTCCTCGGTCCAGCGCTGTAGTCTTCCCGCGCCGGCTTCTTCCCGCCCCGGCATCTGTGACAGCCAGGTGGCCACTGCGCATGCCATTCACAAAGCGCAGCGCTTCTTGCGCATACGCAGTGGGCACCCGGCGCCCATAGTATGGGAAGAGAGCTCCGCGGAAGTGTCAAAGTCAGGTACCCCCTCCCTCCTAAAGGTCCGCAGTGTCTGGTCATCCCCTGTACAGTCTGCAGTCTCTGGTCATCTGTACTGTCCGCAGTCTCTGGTCATCTCCTGTACTGTGTCCGCAGTCTCTGGTCATCCCCTGTACTATGTCCGCAGTCTCTGGTCATCTCCTGTGCAGTGTCCGCAGTCTCTGGTCATCTCCCCTGTGCTGTGTCCGCAGTCTCTGTTCATCCCCTGTGCTGTGTCCACAGTCTCTGGTCATCCCCTGTGCTGTGTCCGCAGTCTCTGGTCATCCCCTGTGCTGTGTCTGCAGTCTCTGGTCATCCCCTGTGCTGTGTCCGCAGTCTCTGGTCATCCCCTGTGCTGTGTCCGCAGTCTCTGGTCATCCCCTGTGCTGTGTCCGCAGTCTCTGGTCATCCCCTGTGCTGTGTCCGCAGTCTCTGGTCATCCCCTGTGCTGTGTCCGCAGTCTCTGGTCATCCCCTGTGCTGTGTCCGCAGTCTCTGGTCATCCCCTGTGCTGTGTCCGCAGTCTCTGGTCATCCCCTGTGCTGTGTCCGCAGTCTCTGGTCATCCCCTGTGCTGTGTCCGCAGTCTCTGGTCATCCCCTGTGCTGTGTCCGCAGTCTCTGGTCATCCCCTGTGCTGTGTCCGCAGTCTCTGGTCATCCCCTGTGCTGTGTCCGCAGTCTCTGGTCATCCCCTGTACTGTGTCCGCAGTCTCTGGTCATCCCCTGTATTGTGTCCGCAGTCTCTGGTCATCCCCTGTGCTGTGTCCGCAGTCTCTGGTCATCCCCTGTGCTGTGTCCGCAGTCTCTGGTCATCCCCTGTGCTGTGTCCGCAGTCTCTGGTCATCCCCTGTGCTGTGTCCGCAGTCTCTGGTCATCCCCTGTACTGTGTCCGCAGTCTCTGGTCATCCCCTGTATTGTGTCCGCAGTCTCTGGTCATCTCCTGTACTGTGCCCGCAGTCTCTGGTCATCCCCTGTGCTGTGTCTGCAGTCTCTGGTCATCCCCTGTACTGTGTCCGCAGTCTCTGGTCATCCCCTGTGCTGTGTCTGCAGTCTTTGGTCATCCCCTGTACTGTGTCCGCAGTCTCTGGTCATCCCCTGTACTGTGTCCGCAGTCTCTGGTCATCTCCTGTACTATGTCTGCAGTCCATTGGTTCAGAATATTTTTTTTCTTGTTTTTCTCCTCTAAAACCTAGGTGCGTCTTATGGTCAGGTGCGTCTTATGGAGCGAAAAATACGGTAACTATAATCAGGGCAGAAAAGAAAGAGCAAAAAAAAAGCAGCTGATGCACCAAAAAAGGTAACCAAAAACAACCTCTACTAGTAACAACGTTACTAACAATTTTACAAATTACTAAAATGACAAGTTTTACAAATTATAAATTACTAAAATTACAACTTACTAAAATGACAAAATTCCTAAATTACTAGTTACTAAAAATCTCACATTTTTACAAAAGACTACAATTATAATTTCTACAAATGACTAAAATTAAAATTGACAAAAATTTTATTTTTTATAAATTGCTAAAATTACAAATTACTAAAACTACAAATTTTACAAAATTCCAAATGACTAAGATTACAAATGTCTAAAATTACACATTTTACAAATTACTAAAAATGACACATTTTACAAATTGCAAACTATTAAAATGAAATATATATTTCCAATTACTAAAATGACAAATTCTAGGTTTAAAACAACTAACTGGGGTTAACTACAAATGTTATTCTCTGATTTGTCTCTTTTATATGGCATCTTGCATACTGTACTGATGTTTGAGCATCAGCATTCTGGACGTAATTCCAGGTGTTTGTTTTGCCTGTATTGATTTGCACTAATACGCATTTCCATGCATAATACATTTCTAGGCAAAAACCACTGGCATTTGTGTTCATGCGTGCATTTGTGTGCAACGGCACAAAATACTGACAGGAATACAAATATTATTATTATATTTTTTACTTAAGAATATGCAGCGCTTGTTTGTACGTGCTTGTGTAAAGGCAAAGGGCTGCATTTTAGATCAGTAAAAAATATACTCTACTGAGCTTTTTCAAGCTGCAGTGTGTAACAGGCCTAAAGCTGCTAAAATCATGTTTCTGCTACAAACAGATTTGATGCTAAAAACATAACCGACCCAAAAAAAAAAAAAAAACTTAAAAAGTTGAAGATTTACATACAAACAAAACAAAATCAGCAACAACGAAAAAAAGGGTTCACTAAAAATGAAAAGCAGTAACCGTAATTTATGAATGAAAGCTACAATAGGACCATTGATTTATAAATGAAAGCAAACAGGACCCAATCAGTCAAACTGATAGTTCAGTCAGATTGCAGAGGAAGATGGGGCCAATCCCTATATACAGTTGTGCTCAAAAGTTTCCCTCCCCTGGCAGAAAATGTGAAATTTTGGCATTGGTATTGAAAATATGAGTGATCATGCCAAAAGATGCTCTTTTTTGAAGGATGATGATCATATGAAGCCATTTATTATCAAATAGTTGTTTGGCTCCTTTTTAAATCCTGATAACAGAAATCCCCCGAATGGCCCGGATCAGAAGTCTCCGCCCCCGGATCAGAAGTTTTCCTCCCCTGGAATGTTTGGCCTTGGTACAGACACACAAAGGTGACACACACAGGTTACAATGCTAATTAGAGGTTCATGTCCCACATCTGTGGCATTTTAAATTGCAATTAGTGTCAGTGTATAAATAGTCAATGAGTTTGTTAGCTCTTACCTGGAAGCACTGACTAGGCTAGATACTGAGCCACGGGGATCAGAAAAGAACTGTCAAAAGTCCTGCGTAACAAGGCAATGGAACTTTATAAAAATGGAAAAGGACATAAAAAGATGTCCAAAGCCTTGAATATGCCAATCAGTACTGTTAAATCACCTAATAAGAAGTGGACAGTTCAGGGGATCTCTTGATACCAAGCCAAGGTCAGGAAAGATTTCAGCCACAACTGCCAGAAGAATTGTTTGGGATTCAAAGAAAAACCCCTCAAGTAACCTCAAAAGAACAACAGGTTGCTCTGAAAAAGATGGTGTGGTTGTTTTTAAGGAGTACAATATATGGTGATACTTGAACAAAAATTAGCTATTTGGTCGAGGTGCCAGAAAGAAGCTTTTACTGCACCAATGCCACAAAAAATCCTGGTTACAATATGCCTGACAACACCTTGACATGCCTAACCGGGCCTCCTTGTGTCATTGGTGCAGTAAAGGCTTCTTTCTGGCACCGCCACCATGCAGCTCATTTTTGTTCAGTGTGTCATCATATTGTGCTCCTTCAAAACAACCACACTGTCTTTTTCCAGAGCAGCCTGGATTTTTCTTGTGGTTACCTTTGGTTTCCCTTTGTATCCCGAACAATTCTTCTGGCAGTTGTGGCTGCAATCTTTCTTGGTCTACCTGACCTTGGCTTGGTATCAAGAGATCCCCGAACTTTCCACTTCTTAATAGGTGATCTAACAGTACTGATTGGCATATTCAAGGCTTTGGACATCTTTATACGTCCTTTTCCATCTTTATAAAGTTCCATTACCTTGTTACGCAGGACTTTTGACAGTTCTTTTCTGATCCCCATGGCTCACTATCTAGCCCAGTCAGTGCTTCCATGTAAGATCTAAAAAACTCATTGACTATTTATACACTGACACTAATTGCAATTTAAAAAGCCACAGATGTGGGACATTAACCTCTAATTGACACTTTAACCCGTGTGTGTGCCACCTTGTGTGTCTGTACCAAGGCCAAACATTCCAGAGGGAAACTTCTGATTCAGGCCATTTGGGTGATTTCTGTTATTATGATTTTAAAAGGAGCCTGTGAGGGATTAGCTCACTATCGGGTTGTGCTTGACCCCCTGGATGGATCAGAACACCATAAAAAGAGGCTCAGCACGACAGCAGGTACTTGGTGAATAAGTTTTGTGCTTTTATTTACAAAGTCCAGTGAACACACGGTGCATAAAAAAAAAAACAGCAAAACAACCAAAACAGAAAATAAAGCCTGGCCACACTGGGCTACTAACTACAACACACAGCTTTCCTATCTAGCGGTCTGTATGCAGCCTACCACTGCTCAGACCCAGGGTGTTCACACAGTTCCAAGATCACAGAGATTGTTTCTCACCATAGGTTGGTTTGGTTGCTCCCCAGTCTGTCTTACACAGCCAACTGGTTCCAGGATGGAGCAATCTCCCTATGCAGCCTGGGAGTTTTATAGAGCCCAGAGCCCTTAATGCACTACACCTGAGCTAATTATCCACAGTGAGCCACACAGGCACACCACACAGCACAACAGGAGAAACAGTCAGTGTAGAGCATAAACCTGGGACAAATATATCTCCCATCCTGGACACATCCCCTAGTTCTTCCTGACCTCCTCTCACAGAGCCGAACAACTATTTGATAATAAATGGCTTCATATGATCATCATCCTTCAATAAAAGCAGACAGAAAACTCCTCCTGCAAGCTTTAACCAGTGCTCTGCTGGACACTGATAGAAGTCACAAGACTGCTCTAACAGCTGATGAGAAAATGTATTTAGCAGTTTATATTTACTACAATACAATAATTGCATTTCCATGTTGTGTGTACTGCGGGAGACCGGGTATAGTGAATGCAGGATCCGGGGAGACCGGATATAGTGAATGCAGGATCCCGCGGAGAGCGGATATAGTGAATGCAGGGTCCAGGGAGAATGGATATAATGAATGCAGGGTCCAGGGAGACCGGATATAGTGAATGCAGGGTCCAGGGAGACTGGATATAGTGAATGCAGGGTCCGGGGAGAGCGATATAATGAATGCAGGGTCCTGGAGATCAGATATAGTGAATGCAGGTCCTGGAAGATCAGATATAGTGAATGCAGGGTCCGGGGAGACCAGATATAGTGAATGCGGGGCCTGGGGAGAGCAGATATGGTGAATGCGGGGTCCGCGGAGAGCGGATATAGTGAATGCAGGGTCCAGGGAGACTGGATATAGTGAATGCAGGGTCCGGGGAGAGCGGATATAGTGAATGCGGGGGGCCGGGGAGACCAGATATAGTGAATGCAGGGTCCGAGGAGAGCGGATATAGTGAATGCGGGGTCTGCGGAGAGCGGATATAGTGAATGCAGGGTCCAGGGAGACTGGATATAGTGAATGCAGGGTCCGGGGAGAGCGGATATAGTGAATGCAGGGTCCTGGGAGACCAGATATAGTGAATGCAGGGTCCTGGAAGATCAGATATAGTGAATGCAGAGTCCGGGGAGAGCGGATATAGTGAATGCAGGGTCCCGGGGAGAGCAGATATAGTGAATGCGGGTCTGCGGAGAGCGGATATAGTGAATGCAGGGTCCAGGGAGACTGGATATAGTGAATGCAGGGTCCGGGGAGAGCGGATATAGTGAATGCAGGGTCCTGGGAGACCAGATATAGTGAATGCAGGGTCCTGGAGATCAGATATAGTGAATGCAGAGTCCGGGGAGAGCGGATATAGTGAATGCAGGGTCCTGGGAGAGACCAGATATAGTGAATGCAGGGTCCTGGGAAGATCAGATATAGTGAATGCAGGGTCCGGGGAGAGCGGATATAGTGAATGCGGGGGCTGGGGAGACCAGATATAGTGAATGCAGGGTCTGAGGAGAGCGGATATAGTGAATGCGGGGTCTGCGGAGAGCGGATATAGTGAATGCAGGGTCCAGGGAGACCGGATATAGTGAATGCAGGGTCCGGGGAGACCGGGTATAGTGAATGCAGGGTCCGCGAAGACCAGATATAGTGAATGCAGGGTCCGGGGAGAGCGGATATAGTGAATGCAGGGTCCGGGGAGACCGGATATAGTGAATGCTGGGTTCCGGGGAGAGCGGATATAGTGAATGCGGGGTCCGGGGAGAGCGGATATAGTGAATGCAGGGTCCGAGGAGAGCGAATATAGTGAATGAAGGGTGCGGGGAAACTAGAAATAGTGAATGCAGCGTCCTGAGAGACCAGATATAGTGAATGCAGGGTTCGGGGAGACCGGATATAGTGAATGCAGGGTCCTGGGAGACCAGATATAGTGAATGCAGGGTTCTGGGAGACCAGATATAGTGAATGCAGGGTCCGGGGAGACCAGATATAGTGAATGCAGGGTCCTGGGAGACCAGATATAGTGAATGCAGGGTCCGGGGAGACCGATATAGTGAATGCGGGTTTCGGGGAGAGCGGATATAGTGAATGCCAGGTCCAGGGTGAATGCGTGGTCCGGGAGAGCGGATATAGTGAATGCAGGGTCCGGGGAGAGCGGATATAGTGAATGCGGGGTCCGGGGAGACCGGATATAGTGAATGCAGGGTCCAGGGAGAGCGGATATAGTGAATGCAGGGTCCGGGGAGACCGGATATAGTGAATGCAGGTTCGGGGAGACCGATATAGTGAATGCAGGGTCCTGGGAGACCAGATATAGTGAATGCAGGGTTCTGGGGAGACCAGATATAGTGAATGCAGGGTCCGGGAGAGCGGATATAGTGAATGCAGGGTCCTGGGAGACCAGATATAGTGAATGCAGGGTCCAGGGAGACCGGATATAGTGAATGCGGGTTCGGGGAGAGCGGATATAGTGAATGCAGGGTCCAGAAGACCAGATATAGTGAATGCAGGGTCCGGGGAGAGCGGATATAGTGAATGCAGGGTCCGGGAGACCGATATAGTGAATGCAGGGTCCGGGGAGACCGGATATAGTGAATGCAGGGTCCGGGAGAGCGGATATAGTGAATGCAGGGTCCAGGGAGGGATAGTGAATGCAGGGTCCGGGGAGACCGGGTATAGTGAATGCAGGGTCCGGGAAGACCAGATATAGTGAATGCAGGGTCCGGGGAGAGCGGATATAGTGAATGCTGGGTTCTGGGGAGAGCGGATATAGTGAATGCAGGGTCCGGGGAGAGCGGATATAGTGAATGCAGGGTCCGAGGAGAGCGGATATAGTGAATGAAGGGTGCGGGGAAACTAGAAATAGTGAATGCAGGGTCCTGGGGAGACCGATATAGTGAATGCAGGGTCCTGGGAGACCAGATATAGTGAATGCAGGGTTCTGGGAGACCAGATATAGTGAATGCAGGGTCCGGGGAGACCAGATATAGTGAATGCAGGGTCCGGGGAGACCAGATATAGTGAATGCAGGGTCCTGGGAGACCAGATATAGTGAATGCAGGGTCCGGGAGACCGGATATAGTGAATGCAGGGCCCGGGGAGAGCGGATATAGTGAATGCAGGGTCCGGGGGAGACCGGATATAGTGAATGCAGGGTCCAGGGAGACCGATATAGTGAATGCGTGGTCCGGGGAGAGCGGATATAGTGAATGCAGGGTCCAGGGAGACCGGATATAGTGAATGCAGGGTCCAGGGAGACCAGGATATAGTGAATGCAGGGTCCGGGGAGACCGGATATAGTGAATGCAGGGTCCGGGAGACCAGATATAGTGAATGCGGGGTCCACGGGAGAGCGACCGATATAGTGAATGCAGGGTCCAGGAGACCGGATATAGTGAATGCAGGGTCCAGGGAGACCAGATATAGTGAATGCAGGGTCCAGGGTAGACCAGATATAGTGAATGCAGGGTCCGGGGAGACCAGATATACTGAATGCAGGGTCCTGGGTTAGTAACACTTTAAGGACCAGACTTTTTTTGACACTTTTTGTTCACATGTAATGATTATTATTTTTTTTTGCTAGAAAATTTCTTAGAACCCCAAACTTTATATATTTTTCAAGAGAATAACTTGGTGGGTTTTGCAATTTTATATGTCACACAGTATCTGTGTAGCATTATTTAAAACCAAATTTTTTGAGAAAAATACACTTTTTTGAATGTTATTGCAAAAAAACCACAATACATAAAAGATGATGTTACGCTGAGTTAATAGACATCAAACATGTCATGCTTTGAAATTGTGCCCGCCCATACAGGTAGCCTTTACAGGTGACCACTTTAGATTTATAGAAGAGATCTGGTGCTAAAATTACTTCCTATGATATGACATTCGCAATGATACTTCACATGTGTGGGATTGTTGTTGTTTGCGTGTTCGCGGGACTGGTGCATCCATTCTCCATTGCACACAAGCACAGGAGCACTTTAATTTTTTTTTTATTCTGTCACTGTCACAGGACCGATCCGTTGTTTGATTAGATCCGTGACTAGCCTGTGGCAGTGCTGGCTAGTCTACTGGGACTGCCGGTGGGATGGGAGATCCCCTTAAAGCATTGGACCCACAGGTCAGGTGCAATGCTTTGGCCGATCATAGCGCATGATGACGTCACAAGGGGGTGGGTGACCACGCCGCCTTGTGACATCATCACAGTATTTAAGAACTGTCACCGCAGCACATCTGTCAAATGACGGGAGCCAGTGTTGAGAGCGGAGAGGTTTTTTTTTTCTTTTTTCAGGTCGACAGTGGCAGTGAGCATTGTGATTGATGTTGGATCTACTTCGGGGGCATTTTTTTTTAATTTTTGTTTTTAATAAAGGACTTGCCAAGGACTGTCTTTTTTACACTACACTTCTTTTTGTGAATGAGTAGTGGTACCATGTACCCAGGGGCGTACTGACCATTTGGAAACTCGGGCACTGCCCGAGGGCCCAGGGTCAGTAGGGGGCCCCATGAGATGCCCCTGGTACCTTTTTCATAGGCTTTTTTGAGTTTGGGCAAGGACACAGGGGCCCCATGATCCCCTATTGCCCGAGGGCCCCATGAGTTGTCAGTCCGCCCCTGCATGTACCCCATACTCAGTCATATTAGGGGGGGAATCTGAGGGCCATGGTGGGCTTCCAGATTCTGATAAGCCCCCCCTAGCAGATCCCCACAACCACTGGCAATGGTTGTGAGGAAGAGGCCAATGTCCCCATTAAAATGGGGACAAGGTAATTTTGGTAGGGGGAGCTCCTCCTGCCCCAAAGCAGCCCCCCATGTTTAGGGCATGTGGCCTGTATTGTTCAGTAGGGGAGGGGGATTGCTTGCTCGTCCCCCCCTTTCCTGACCTGCCAGTTGCATGTTCAGATAATGGTCTAGTATGGATTTTGGGCTTAGGGGTTCCCCTTAACATTCATACCAGACCTGAAGGGCTGGGGGGGGGACACCATGCGTTTTTTAACAAATGTTTAAATTGCCGGGCAATTCCTGCAATTGTTTTTACAATCAGCTGTCAGAAGCGAACCCGCTTAGCAAAGGCGTCCCTAGGGTTGGTGTCACCCGGTGTGGTAACACTTGGTGACACCCCCTCCAATGATCCCCGCAGAATGGATCGGATCTGCAGATTGAGCATAATAGATTGGACTCTGATCCATTATGCTCAATCCGCAGGTCTGATCCATCCTTCGGGGATCGTCGCCTTGCTTTACAACTTACCTTTTCGTGGAGCGGGACTGGTGTCACTCCGTGCGGTCGGTGTCCGCACTCCCTGCACCTGCCTTGGAGTGCCACTGCCGCTTAGTGAATTGTCCCTGTTCAAAGTTTGCGGTCGAACTTGTGTTAGGTTCGAATGTTCGACCACAAACCTAAGGGGAGTGTTCGACCCATCACTATTAGGGTATATGAAAGACTACCAGAGAAAAGACAGCAACACAAAAGGGGACAAAGTAGTGATCATGAAAAAGGTTCTGGGTATGAAAGTGATTAACTTACCCTGTATATCATCCACAGGTGGAATTCCCAGGATATAATCCTCCCTTATACCATGCAGAGAGGCTTGACCGTGGGGAGTATGACCCCAGAACTGAGTAAGTCATTCATTTTTAGCATTTTATCTCTCCCATTTACACACATTTTGGTAAATTCAGAAGAAAATTAATTCTCTCTTTCTATTGAGATCAATAGGGACAGACAGAAATTTGACAGAATGAAAAGCATAAAGGTTTTAAATGAACATTATATGATAAGAGACACAAAGCAAATTGCTGAAAAGAATACAATAATCTAAATATCCAAAGCATACACTAATATTAAGAATATATAGCAGGAGAAAAATATAGAGAATTTAGCCAGCGTACAAGACTTCATGAAATATGAATAATATGACACAAGGCACACTGAAATATTAGTATCCATAAACACTATACAGCAGGGGTGCTCAAACCGTGGCCCACGGGCCACATGAGACCCTCGGAGTCCTCTGACCTCAAACTAGGGAAGCGCACGCCTGGGATTGGCAAACCCATTGACCGTGATCTGGGCTTGCCGACTCACCATTCTAGAGGGCATCGAGCCGGCAGTGGAGGAAGCAGGTGGCCATGGAGGGAGCAGTAATGCCAGCTCCTGTTCCAGGCGGAGGGAGACCAAGTGCACTTTGGGATCTTTCTAGCATCCTGTAGATGAGAGGAATGCCAGCAGAAGCTGGAAGATGGAAAGAAGGTCCGTATATTTAATACCACATTAATTACGCTTTTGCTATGGGCATATCAGCACTTATCAAAGGGTTAACAAACTATTAGGCTGCTTTCACACTGATCTGTGGGTGCAGCGCAGTGCACCTTCGGCTTTCCTGCAGGTTAGCTGAGCTGAGCCATAGACTTCTGTTATTACCTACCGGTGTCATGCTATGGCAAAATGCTGCTAAACCTACAGGAAAGCTGAAGGTGCACTACCAGGGGCGGACGGAAAAATCATGGGGCCCCCGAGCAATAGGGGATCATGGGGCCCTGTGTCCTTGCCCAAACTCAAAAAGCCTATGAAAAAGGTACCAGAGGCATCTCATGGGGCCTCCTACTGACCCCGGACCCTCGGGCAGTGCCCGAGTTTCCAAATGGTCAGTCCGCCACTGTGCACTACAGTAAACCACAGCACATCAGTGTGAAAGCAGACTTTTAGGGGGCTCAGGACAGTAAGGGCTTGTTTAAATTTGCAATTTGGGGGTTTTAAAAACCCCACAGATTAAATGCCCCCCCCCAACCACTGGTGTAGTGTCTGGGGTCACATTGGCGACCCCGTCCCATGCTCCAAGGGGCCCATGCGGTCTCCCTGTCACATTCTGTTTTATACTTGGTCAGGAGGGATGGCAGGGGTGGTATACACAGGAACCAATCCTTTCCATTTTCCTCCTGCAACCGCCAAAAGCCATCATCTCCTTCTCTTCCTCCCTCCCTCTGGCATTCAGCGGCTGCAGGAGAAAAATGTTCATCATGCTATTCAAAATAAAAAATGTAAATTCTGAATCAGTGGCCCTTGTTTTTCAAAAGTTTGAGCACCCTTGCTATACAGTATATACACTATATGGCCTAACATTGTTGACCATCACACCCAATCATGGCCAATGGTATGCTGACTTCCCCCTCTAAGTTATCCAGGTGTTTCCAGTGAAGGGTACTGGTAATACAACAGCATACAAGGACATTGTAGACAATTGTGTTCTTCTACTCTTGTGGTAACAGTTCAGTGAAGGCCTTTTCCTGTTCCAGCATGACTGTGCCCCTGTGTGCACAGCCAGCTCCTTAAAGACATGGCTTGACCAGTTTGTTGTGAGGAACTCTCGTGGCCTGACTTCAACCCTACTGAACACCATTGGAATGAACTGAAAAACCAATTGTGGGTCAAGTCTTCTCATACAACATCAGTAAATGACCAAAAAATGCTCTTTTGGTTGCATTAGTACAAATTCCCACAGACACACTCCAAAGTCTTATAGAAATCTTCCCGGAAAATGAAAGCTGTTGGTGCAAAGGAGGACCGACTCCATAAAAATGCCTATGGTTTCAGAATGGGGTTTCCAACAAGCCAATACAGGTGTGGAGTTCATATGTCTGCACACTTTTGGGCATAGAGCTTATTTCACATGTAGTTTTACCATGACCCGAATGGTGATAAAATATACAAAATAAATGCTGTACTCACAAATCCATACAGCGCTAAATACAATATGGACACCTGCTGTGCTGTCTGCATTCATATATTGAGGAATGGTGAATTTATTTCTCCATATAATTAACAGAGGGCATCACACAGCAAATTATTAGTTAGAATGTCTCAGAATAATTATATAGATGAAGATTCAAGAGTTCTTTTCCTGTGTACAGCCTCTGCACTTAACCTGTGTTCTCTTTTTATCCCTTGTGAATCCAGATGGAGCAGAAGAGCCGTAAGTACAATGTTATAGATGGCCTCTATGACTTCCGAAGCTGCTGTGGCACCTATACAGTCAAGGATGGTTTGCCCCTGTAAGTACAATATGTTTTATGCTGCCTTCTGTCATTTAGGGCAGATCTGTATCTGCCCCATTCACTGACCTCCCTGAGGAGTATCTGGTGGACCCCCTGACCTCATATACTGTACAGCAGGGGCGTACTGACCATTCGGAAACTCGGTCACTAAGGGGCCCCATGAGATGCCCCTGGTACCTTTCATAGGCTTTTTTGGATGTGGTTTGAGTGTGGGCGAGGGCACAAGGGCCCCATGATCCCCTATTGCCCGGGGGCCCCATATGTTTTCAGTCCGCCA